GAAGCAGTACAATAGAATAACGCATTTCCTGATTCCTCGGTGACTTTCCTGAATGGATGATGACTTTTATTATTCTTTCATTAGCATTATGATACTGGTGGTTGGTATTATATGTATCCATATTTAATACTGGTATTATATTACTTTCTTGTGATTAAGCTGCAATTACCCTTTTATTGTTTCCGGTCACATTGTAGTATGCTTCTTTTAGTACTTCCTCTGTCAGAGCTCCACAAAAAGGATCTTGCTGGCCAGTTGACTTGCTTCAACCCTTACTAAAACAGGCAACTCTGTCTCAGTTACCTCCTTCCGCTGACTGTTAAGTAGCTTTTAGATGGCTGCTCTTGACTGTATGCCTTACTGCAAAACTGAACTGAATCCTCCTTTGGAATTGGGGAAAACGGGAAACAAAAGGTGCAGGTGAGTACTGTTGGAAAACAAATGTTAACAGAATTCCCAGTTAGAAATTCACTCCTCTGGCAACTGCGGGATAACGGAGCACGTTTTCATTCTTTTGCTGGCACCCAGAGAGATTACTCTATATGAGTGCCTGTGGAAGAGCAGGGTCAACAACATTTATGGTATCATTGAGACTTTTGAGTAGCCATCCTTTCCTGGATGACAGACTTGTCCTGTCAGTCAGTAAAGCTGATAAGGTTTTTATAGTAAGTGAGAAGATCAGTTGACTCTGCTCGAAAGAGAATTTCTGTCTTGGGCTATGTGAAATATCCTAGTTCATGTGGACTCCATGAAAAGAGGGACACGACTGTCAAGATGTACATGTTAGAAGCTGAGTAAGAGCAACTCTTGATAAAAAGGTGATTTGTTTGATGTGGTGATTTACCTTCCAATGACTGGAAGGAGCAGGATGTACTGAGGGCTCTCGGTGATGTTAAGACTCTGGAATATACAATGATAAATGACATCTTGTAAAGCTAGACAAGGTCTCTGCTCCCTCTGTCTGCTCTTTTCATTTTTTTGTCCAGACAAGATAAGATGGTAGTGATATTATTTGCCGTCTCTTGATTGAAGAGGCAGTTGCTCTTAAATCTGATTTAATTCAGTTTTGAATCTTCGTATCTCTTAAAGGAGGCCTGCTTGCTGCAGGTCCTTTCTGTGACTAGGTGAATTTTGTAATCAAGTAGAGTTTGCAGATGACACCAAACTGGGTGGGAGTGTCGATCTGCTTGAGGTGAGGAGGGCTTTGCAGAGAGACCTGGACAGGCTGGATTGATGGGCCAAGGCCAACTGTATGGTGTTCAACAAGGCCAAGTGCCGGGTCCTGCACCTGGGTCACAACAACCCCATGCAACACTACGGGCTTGGGGAAGAGTGGCTGGAAAGCTGCCTGGCGGAAAAGGCCTTGGGGGTACTGGTTGACAGCCGGCTGAATATGAGCCAGCAGTGTGCCCAGGTGACCAAGAAGGCCAATGGCATCCTGGCTTGTATCAGGAATAGTGCGGCCAGCAGGAGTAGGGAAGTGATCGTGCCCCTGTACTTAGTGCTGGTGAGGCCCCACCTTGAATATGGTGTTCACTTTTGGGGCCCTCACTACAAGAAAGATGTTGCATTGCTGGAACATGTCCAAAGGAGAGCCACAAAGCTGATGAGGGGTCTGGAACACCAGTCTTTACGAGGAGTGGCTGAGGGAACTGGGGTTGTTTAGCCTGGAGAAGAGGAGGCTGAGGGGAGACCTTATCGCCCTCTACAGCTGCCTGACAGGAGGGGGTAGTGAGGTGGGGGTCGGCCTCTTCTCCCTGGTAACAGATGATAGGACAAGGGGGAATGGTTTGAAGCTGCACCAGGGCAGGTTTAGGTTGGACATTAGGAAAAATTTCTTCACCGAAAGGGTTGTCAGGCTCTGGAATGGGCTGCCCCGGGAAGTGGTTGAGTCCCCATTCCTGGAGGTATTTAAAAGATGGGTAGATGAGGTGCTTAGGGACATGGGGGGTTGGACTAGATGACCTCTAAAGGTCCCTTCCAATCCAAACCATTCTACAATTCTGTGATTCTATGGTTTAGTGGTGGGATGGCAGTGTTAGGTTAATGGTTGGACTTAATGATCTTAAAGGTCTTTTCCAACCTAAATGATTCTATGATTCTATAAAGTGATGATGCTTCTAAGAAAGAAATTTATAAATATAACTAACTGCACCGCTTGGTCCAGTGTTGATGGTTCAACTGCGATGTTGAGCTTTGAGTTCTTACAGAGTAACTGCTATTACAGCCTCTAGGAAGCTGTCCCAGTAAGCTGGAATTTTCTGTAGAGTAATATTTTTATATTTTCAGGTAAAGCTAACTTTGTACAGAACCTGTAAATTAGTGTCACAGGAAACATCTGACCTTGGAACATCATTTTATTCCTTGCTACGCTTGAACAGCTTTAACCTTAATATGGTATCTTCTAATACTTTGAAGCTATTAGAGTAAGTCTTGTACAGAGCAGAAATCTCCAAATGGTATCATTCTGGATTATTTAAACAAGTTTTCTAATGAACTCTGTAATTCTTACTACATTCTTCATACCCACTATTTCCAAGTTAGGTTAAACATGCCTCCTTCAGGTTCAAAACATCTAAGCATTAACACTGTCTGATTTGCTGACACAGTGAGAGAGAGATCGGCATCTGTGTATGACTAATCCAGGATATCAAATGGAGACTCCACCTTGGATATTTTTATAATTTGTTTTCCTTTCCCTTGACATTTGTTCCACTGAGCTCTGCACATGTGGAAGAGTGATAGGGGAGAGTCCATGCTCCCTCATTTCCTTTCATGTTCACAGAGATGTTGGTCATCATGGGCAGCTATTAGATTGTTCAGAGGAAATAAATCTGCATTCCTATTAGTGGTAGTTAATTTTTACATTTCGGTGTATTTGCAATATAGAATCTTTTTCATTCAGTCACCTTAAGGCCATGTTATTCCTTTTGGCATCAACTGGTATGCAGCAATTTTCTAGAAGGGTTTAGGACTCAGTGTAGTAACTTGGTGGAAGAGCCAACAATAAACTCTTGTTTCTTTCCTTTAAATTCAAAGCATCCTTCTGCAAACAAATTCAAGTTCAGGTCTTTCTAACAGCTGTGGAATAATCAGTGACTCAGATATCAAAGATGCTGTATTTGCATAAAACTGAGTGCCTCAGCTTATAAAGATCTATTTTGTTTTCATCTATACAAACAGTAGGAAACAGTGTTTAGCATCTAATTTGTTAATACATTTAATAATCTTCATGTACAGCACAGTAGGAAATGTTCAGTAAGGGTGCAATAATTCTGGGGAACATTCTTTCCTGTTTTCCATGCTTTTTATCAAAAAGATACAGAAGTTTTTTTACCCGGTTCTTTACACCCTAGTTATTTATCAGATAAACATATGGAATTCCTTATTAATTCCTTACAAGAGAAAAATCTGTTCATGTCTGTATTGTCTAAAGACTGCTGGTTCTTTTGTTGGACTGATGTACATGTAAAAATACGAAAGCAGCAGGCACTGAGTAAATACAGGGGTGGCAACATCCTAGTAGGGGTTCTGTTGCTTGTAGTGGTTATCTTTAATAAAAACAAACAAACAAACAAAAAATCAGTCATCTTACTGTGTGGATTCTTATTTGGAGGTGTTTGAAAGATTTTCAACCCTATTTCATTTACAATAGTGGAATGGTTCTTACTGCTGGAGATTGTTCAAATTTAAATGGCGCTTGTGTGGGTATGTGTGTCTTGATTTAGGACAGTGGGCCAATATGTGTATTTCTATGTTAGGTTTTATTCCTGCCAGGAAGAAGATTAGCCTTCTAATCTTGTGTCCAGCATTGAGTAAACGAGTATTTGTGGCTTTACAGTAACAGAGGATTAAGGAAATCGCAGATTCACAAAATGGCTGTGGTGGGAAGGGACCTCTGGAGGTCCTCTGGTGCAACCCCCCTGCTCAAGCAGGGCCACCCAGAGCTGGTTGTCCTGGACCATGTCCAGATGGCTTTTGAACATCCCCAAGCATGGAGACAGATATGTGATGCTTTTGAACCAGAACTTATGACTTGGCTTTTTTTCATAACTTATCCTTACTATGACTTTTGATTAGATTTAGCAGATACCAGGATCTTAATTGCCAGTTTTCCTAGCTTCAAAATAGATACCATAGATATGTCCTCTAGGATGTAGGGGATTGTTGCTGGTTTTATGGGCTGACCTGGACTGGTAGCATTTTTAAGCCTTGACTGAGTTTGTTCATTATCACATTCATCTCTGCATTTGCTATTAGTATGCTTAAAAAAGAAAAGAACAGATTTATGGGGTTACATTGATATCCTGTATTTATGATTTTTTTTTTTTTTTGTTGGAGTGTGTAAAATTCTAATTAAATTTTATGCTATGAACTTTGGGTTGCTTTGACATTTCTTTGGTGTGAAGGCCTGCTCTGTGTAATTCAGTGAAAATAGTGCTCATAATCCATGGACAACATGGTTGATTGGCAAGCACTTGTAGTTTACTTTTTTCCCCCTTTTAATTTCTTTTTACAAAGCTTTTGCATAACACTGTATAACGTTTTAGAGTATTAGAATAGTTAGAATGTAATTCTTTTGATTAATGTTTATGAAAAAAAACTGTCATGAGCTTTATTTTAATCTGCAAACTAATCTGGCAGTATTTTAAACAACAGTCGTCTACTTATGCAATTTACCACTAGGCATTCATTTCTTATACTAATTTCTTATTTTTCAAGACTATAACAGTTCTTCAGTTGTCAACATAATACCTGTATTAAAGTTTGAAATCTGGCATCAGTGTGTTTCATAGGTTTCTGGGATATTTCAGGTATTTTGATGTTGAAATGGTGATGGGGATTTTTGAATTAAGTTACTGTCCAAAAAAGGTACTAGAAAGGAAACTTTGTAATCAGAAAAAATGCTTCCTGCAGAAATGCATGAAAACTTGCTCCAGTGAAGTTGAAGTGGCATAATTCTGATATACTTTTTTTTAACTTTTTCTTGAATTTTAGATTTATCCATGGCAGTGCAAAAATTTTCACAGTCTTTACAAGATTTCCAGTTTGAGTGCATTGGAGACGCTGAAACTGATGACGAAATTAATATTGGTAAGTACATTCTGTGCTCTGGTTGCAGTAACATTTAATATTGTTTCTTATATATTTAACATCACAAATATAGTGGGGCAGTTCACAGGTTTTTGTGGTTTGGTTTTTTTTTTCTATAATGGAGCATGTGACAAATTCAATTAAGTGGAAATCATACAAGACTTCAAAATTACATGTCAAGAAACTATGTCTTTATGATGTAGCTTGGTTCATTATAGAAGTATTCAGCAGTACTTTGTCAACTGAGTCAACTGTGAGTCTTCTAAATTCTGCTGCTATTTTTAATTTGCAGCCGGATTTCATTGGTACACAAAAGTACACAAGTTTCCTATGAAATAACGTAAGTCTGCAAAAACCACTTAAGTGCCTAGTAAGACACAGGAAGTATTTAAGCATCAAAAACCAAGAATATGTTCTTCACAACTTGTGCGTTCCAAAGTATGTAGTTATCTGAGCTTTTGCTGGTAAAATTTGCTAGCTGTTTAATGTTCTGCCGCTGTGTGCACCCAGAACTTTTGCATTCGCAGAGTTGAACAGCTCAGCTTGTCTTGAACATAAGCCTCTTTGATATGATCAAAATATTCTTCACTCAGCAGACTAATCCTGGAAACACTTCCAGGATTCAGAAATTCAGCTGCTCTTCACTAAAAGGCATTGCTGTGGTTGCAGCGATGCTTTTTGAGCAGTAGCACAGCAGTTGGAGTGTTCTAGCTCCCGTTGGTGAGATATTTGGATTACAATCCATCTTCAGAATGGCTAAATTCAGTGTCATGAGTCTTACATACCACATGGCCCCCATGTCTCTCCTAAAACATCTGAGAGGAAGGAAGATGGTTATTAAAGAGTGGCTGCTTTTAAAAATAATTTGGCAGTACAAGAAGGAACATAGGACTTGTTAGTATTTTTTTAAAAAAAGATCTATGTAATGCAGAGAGGAAACTCAGATTTAGGCTTTTTCAAGCATATCTCCTGTTATAACCGATTTTGAAGTCCTCCTTTCCCTTCAGTGTTTTCCCTTTTCCTGACTGAGTTACTAATCATTGGGTAAACGGTCTGAGTTGTTTGCTTCCACTGGCAATGCTTGCCTCATCCTCACCCTACAACCATGTGATAGTTAGGAGACTGTCATCAAAGATGGCTGGTATTTGGTCACCATCTTCCACTAACCTTTGGCAGGGTGGTGGTGGGGGAGGTTTAATTTTACTGATGTACAAAAGTAGGGGAGTGAAACCCCCGAGCTGCTGCTACTCAGATACATGCATTATTCAAGTGAATCAAGCTTGGGCAGAGACAAAAAATCAGTGGTGTGTATGTGCTTTTTGGCATCGTATATATTATTTCTTGGCTGTTAAAGTTAGCTTGTACATATTTTATACATTTAAACTAAATCTACAATATCTCAGTTGTGTGTCTTAGATTTATTTGGTCAATAACTTTTTTAAAGGCAAGGTTTTGCATTTGAGATGAGGTGACTGGGGACAAAGACAACTTTCATTTTAGTTGTAACCTAAATGTAGCAAAGAAAGACATTTTATTGTTTGGACATTAAACAGGCATTTGAAACTATTTAGGAAAAAAACAGAGTTCATGAAGCTTGACAGCTGATTTATTTCACTTGGAGCTTCAAAGAAGGGATTTCTAGCTTCTAAAGCACCCATTGCCTGATGGATTGTCATGTACATCAAAGAAGCTTATAAGAGTAAAACTGACAGGAATCAAATTCAAGTCTAAAAGAGCTTGAATGATACTGTGTGCTTTTATAGGGTAAAGCTCAATTTTTGATCTCCCTAGAGCAGTCACCTAGAATTTATCCGTATCTTTAACATGCCCCAACAAGCTAGATATTTGCTTATCATCAAAGAACAGCTTTGTATAGATGAATCCTGCTCTCTGTGCCTCCTTCTGCCTTCACCTCCTATTTTTAAGAATATCTATGACTGTGCAGGCCACTGTGAAGTTTTATTTCAGTCTGCGGTGATACCCTGACTTGTTAAGTTTTGTGCAAAACCACCTTATACATAAGGGCTTAATACAGGGACTACATTCTGAAGATTATTTTAAAATACATTTCTATTTCAAGCTCAGTGTTGGAAATCTGTCCTAAACCACCTTAGTATTGGAAATTCACACTCTGAATAAGGCTTCTTCTGTCAGGTTGTGATTATTTCCGTTTAAAAAACAAAAAAGGTTCAGCTTTTTTCAAAATTGAAATATAAGTGGTTTCTTTTTTTCTTACCAGTAATAAGTATTTGGAACTGACTTGATAGCTTCATGAACTTTTTTTTTTTTTAGGCAATACTAGAGTTGAAGGTCTCTGTTCAGTAACTAAGTGCAACATAATTTTTTTTTATTTTTGTTTTTGCCAACCCGAGCCCTAGTAACAGCAGTTTTATTTTCATTTCCTGTAACCTCTGCCTTTTTAGATGCTCTTTTTATACAACTCAACTATTCCAATAAACCCATTACACAGGATACATTAGACGTAGTTTTAGTTTAGCTTCATAACACACTCAGTATAAGCAGAATTATGAAGATGTTCTTCATATCTATTTTAATCCATCTATTATTTAATCCAGTGATTTATTTGGGTTTTTTGTTTTCTTTTAATTCCTATCTTTGATTTCTAATTTTTATGATTTCTTTTATTTACAAATGTTTAATTCTTCCACAGAAGTGTTGTTGTTCTTTGACAAAAAAAATCTACATGCCTCTCTGTGGCTGTATAATGCACTTTAGGAAATATTTCCATGTTGTTGCAGGTTTACCCAGATCTATGTAGCCACTTTCAGATACAACATGCCCAGCTTAGTATCAGACACTTTGTGCAGGGCGTGTAAGCTATTCGCCTGGCTCTCTTGAATAAGCAGACTGGCTTGTTTCTCAAATCATGTACAACTTTTTTTTTTTTTTTTTTTTTTTTTCAAAACAAGTTTAATTTTTTTTTTTTTTTTTTTTTTTTTTTTTTTTTTTTTTTTTTTTTTTAAACTGTGAACAACAAAGGATTCACACTATAAAAAGCTTTTCCAAATTTTCAGATGTTTGCCAGCAAATTGGGTTTGGGAAACAGTGCTCCCCCCATCTTTACTAGTTTTTCTCATTAAAAAACCAAACAGCTAACAGCAACTGCTAGTGTTGTCTCTTCCTCATTTTTAAACACACATGGCAACGTGATCTGCAGCAGCGCGTGGGCCATAGTATTTGATAGGGCCGTACTGATTGTCAGTAGAACATGGATATTAGCTCCAATAGCATGTGATTCAGCCAAGCTGTAATTTTTTTGTGTAATTTAAAAGTTAGGCAGAAAGTGGCATCTTTAAAGAAAAAAATAACACGATGAATGGCAGTGAATCGTTAATACTAAAAAAGCATAGTAATGAAGGTTTGATGTAACTTACCCTTACTCAAAGAAGAGGGTGTTGTCTCCCCCATCTTACTAACAACTGCACTTTCCTCAGTGTGAAATAGCCAAGACTTGACAACACTTTGCCACTCACTTTCAGACATATCACCATGTGCACAGTTACTCTCAGCCCCCTTTGCAATTAATATTTTGCACAGATGAAATACATTAAATTGACAGTGAATGAATGTAAAGGAGGTCAGTCATTTGTCATGCCCAGTGGGAGTTTTGTGCAAAATAGATGCATGATTTTTACATGTTTCAAACCTTATAGGTAACATAGAATTTTACACAGATGGGATAAGTAGAAAAAATTGTTATTAATGAATGAGTGTCTTTTTCCTCTGTACACACCGTGCAGGCATAAATTTGGCAAGGAGAAGGTTTGCCCAGCTCCTCCTTTCATTGTATGTTTTTATCTTCTTTTCTGTTTATATTATCTGGATTGTGGCTGATACAGGTGAAAATAATACTATTTTGTATTATGGCTAATTATAGATCAGTGAGATTTAGTATCAGCAGTGTAAGGCCATGCTCTTCAGAATTAAAAGAAGCCAAGACAAATAAATACATTCTGATATTCTCTCATTTTACTTCAGTATCTATTTGCTATTAGTGTGTGCTATTTAAGAAAAAGCAGTGAAAGGCGTGTGTATTTCAATCTGTTGCTGCTGGGTTTGAATTTTTTTTTTTTTCCCTGAAGAGAATTATATTATGACAGATGTTTCAGGTAGCATCAGATGCTTGATTTAGGAATGTAATAGGATTATGATGATCTATGAAATCATTATTAATTGAGCCACAAGGAATAGGTCAGAATTTCTACAATGTGGTATCTTTCCTTGTGGGAACTGAATTCTCCTCTCGCTGCTGGTAGTTGTGGCTCATGTGATCTTTGCTGACTCACACCCCAAGTCGTTCATGCAATTATTAAAATTGCTAGCAACTAACCAGTTACAGAACTGTTAACTCACACCAGTTAGTTGAAACGCAGTTAGTTTCAAGTTGAACTTCGAACAATCATTTACAGTGTACTGGGGAGAAAGACCTTAAAAAAAAAAAAGAGGAAAAAAAAAAAAAAGCCACCCCCACCCCCCAACCAAAAAAAACCCCACCACCCAAACTTTAATACTAGGTGTTTGTTAGAGTCCATTGAGTCCATTGCTGTGTTCTTAAGGCTCTTTTGTTCAAGTTGAGCAATGATGCCAGAAGCTCAGTCATCTTTTTTGCTTGTACTGGGCATCCACATGCACAATGTTTTTGAGTTAGCAGCTGCTCTGCCCCGTTGGAGAGCCTGTCAGAGGACAAGCAACCTGTCATTCAAAGCAGCAAATAGATCTGTCTTGGGAAATTTGTGTATAAAACTACATAAATCATTTTCCTGGCTATGTCAGAATCCTTGAGCCACCTATGGTCTGAATCACTTGGATATCTTACAAGTCATCTCCTTAATCACTTGAGGTTAGCTTTGATGTTCAAGAAAGTTCTTTTTGGGGTTAATATTCTACCTACTTTGCACTGAATTCCCATTCGTACACATTTCTGAATGGAATTACCAAATACCAAGTAAGTCTAAAATGAATTCCAGCAGCTCAGGTCT